CTATTTTTGTTATTGTTTGCATTTTTGGTTTGAGTGCCTTTTGATTTGTTTTGAGAATTCGAGTCACTGTTTTGTTGATCATTGTTGTTTGAAGTATTAGAATTTTTAGTGCTTGGGCTTGAAGAAATAGATTCTTCAGTTTCATCTTGTTCATTCTCCTCGTTCTTTTGTTCCAAATCTTTAAATATTCTTGCTCTTGCTTTTTGGTATGCAGCTTCCCGTTCTTCAATTGTTAATATTTTACGTTCCCCTTCGGAATTACTATCCGAATCACCAGTAGATCGAAGTTGTGATTGAGCGTTTATCTGTTGTCGTCTCATGATCTTTACGGATTTCTCCGGCTTTTCCTCCTCTTGCTCAAGAAGATCCGAAAATCGAAGGATTGGTCTAAATGTATATATTTCAAGGCATGATTAATCTTAAATGTAAATATTTTTATTGATTACTTATTTATTTGGAAGATAATGCATACATTTGTGTTTCGGATGATTTGTAAAGGACGACAGCCTTTCCACTGCTGTCAACAACGTGTGATAATTTAAAATATTGTGCAACACGATGGACGATTAGTCGTTGATAGGAATTCATAGGCGGAAATTCTAATCTCGTATGACTGATAAAATTAAAAAGGAACTAAGCAAATTGTTGAAACAAAATACAATTAATGAAACATAAAAAAGGTTTAAATATTATACTTTTTTTCGTTAATAAACCGTTCCATTTCTCTATCTAGTTTTAAGAGAAATAATCTATCTTTAGGATTCTTTAGTGCTGCCAGCAAGAAACCATCAAGACCTGTGTTGAAATCTATTTCTCCGAGATGTGCAGTTTGCTCAGGCGTCAATTCAACTTCAAGATTTGGTGATGAAGAACCAGATCTGCTTGGGGTTTGCATCAAATCGATGGATGAAATGAGAGTACTAGATCCAGCACCGGATTGTGTACTATTATTATCGGTAGCATTGTTTGGATTTCGTTTTAACAAAACAATCTTTTTAACATCAGCAGTTGGATTTGAATTTGCCACAGATGAATCTTCAACGGGCATATTTTGGGAATGAATTGGTGTTTCAGGAACGGGAGTAGCAAAGGAGGGCTTTTAAAATAATAATTTTAATAATTATGATTATGAACGATTAAAATTAGCACTAGGGTTAAATTAAGTTTATTCAGATGCCTGAGAACCAGATGTTAATATTCTTACCATATTTCTGGACAGGTTCTTTGACATTCTTTGCCAAGTGCAAAGATTTCTGCACAGAACCCTTTAATTTAATTTGCCGAAAACGAAGTAACAGAGGACATCAGGAAATTTTGTAGCTAGATAATTATCGAAAAAACGATATATATTGATTAAAATATAACGATATAAATCGGCAGACCTGTTATAAAACAATATATATCAAATATTCGACAAATATCGACTATCAAATATAAATCGTTGCACATCCACTAATCGATTATTGTTGAATTTATCAAATCGACGCATAACGGTCAAATAGTTATTAATCTATTAATCGCGTGCACGTGTGCATACGTTACATACGTACGCAACCTGCTACATCACGAGACAGATAACTGATAATCTATTGACAAACTTTATCTTTCGCTTGACTTAATTCTGTAATTTTGATTTTCTTTATTAACTTTCGCTTTCTATTTAACTGTTAACCTTCATTCTTTTTATTTTTTTATTTATCTTTCGCTTTTATTCAACTTTCTTTTTTTTTTCATTCTTTTTATTTAACTTTCGTTTTATTTAACTTTCGTTTTTTTTTTATTTCGTTCTTTTTATTTAACTTTCGTTTTTTTTATTTCATTCATTTTACTTTTGTTTTTTTTTCTTTGTATGTTTTATGAATTATTTTACAAACCGGGAATTAGATCTGAGATCCGGATCTGGTACAAAGTTAAGTACCAGTCTATTTTTTTTGTTTCTTGTTTTTTCTTTCGCTTTACTAGTTGTTTTCTTCTTTTACAGATCTTTGCTTCGCCGGGAACGGAGTAATGGAACCGGGCTTGAAATGCGGGATTCAAGATCTGGTACAAAGTTAAGTACCAGTCTATTTTTTTGTTTCTTGTTTTTTCTAGTTGTTTTCTTCTTTTATAGGTTTTTGCTTCGCTGGAAATAGTGAAATAGAGCCGGACTTGAAACATGGGATTCAAGATCTGGTACAAAGATAAGTACTAGTCTATTTTCTTGTTTGTTGTTTTTTTTTCTTTCGTTTTTACTACAGGTCACCCTCGTTAATATCAATCTAAGCCGCAAAATCAAATTTTTGGAATTTTTATATATCAAAATTCCCTCATATATATCAACTTTAATATGATTTCTCGTTAATATCACTATCAACATTAACGAGGGTCACCTATAGTTGTTTTATTCTTTTATCAGGGATGGTAAATGACCTGAAATGACCTATTGGGTCATTTGAAAAATATACTGTATATTCCTGAAAATAAGCTGCTTTTTAAAAAGCAATTTTTGAATACAAAAAAATGAAGAGTAGCTTATTTTTGGGTTTTTGAAAAATTTTTGCTCGACAACAAGGGTAGCTTATTATCGGGTGTTATTTTTAAAAAAATCTCACACATATCCAACTAATAAACTAACTATACGCATTGAAATTCAACCAGATTTAAGACATAATGCCGGCCATAGTATATATGCATACGTATGAGTTTGACTGCTGAACTGTTGATGTGAAATAATTATTGATGCACCGTAATTGAGCTTTTATTTTATTTTTTTCGATTTAAATTAATTTTGTTTTGAAATTGGTATTGCATGAGTGTCGCTAAGGGAAAACTTGTCATTGACGTGATCCTTACGACAATTTTGCTGAAATTCATTCCAGATATTAAATTTTAGCCAGTAGTACAACTCTATAATAAAAAAGATGGTCGAGATCATCTTTTTTTTCTCGCACTAATAAATTCACTTAACCGGCTAAACTATATAATTAAATAAGCTCCGAAATGTTAATTTAGGTACTTGAGAGCACCCTACATGGGTTGTTCAAAATGTTTTGACACTAGTTAATTATTTTAATTATTTCTTAGTTTATATTTTTGAAACTTAGATATATAAAACTACTAGTTATAATAAATTTATAAATAAAAAATTATCTAGCTTTAATTAAAAAATTAAACTTTAAAATTGTACAATTCCTGTTATTAAATTTTATTAATATAAAAATTTATTTTAAATTATAAATAAAAAATTTATTTATTTAAAAATAATAAATTATATTTATATAATTCAAATTTATATAAATATATATATTTTTTATTATTTAAAATAGTTTTTTTTATAAGTTAATTGATGATCCACTACTCAACAAGTGTATAATTTTAGTAAAATGTGACTCAGATTACTATATAAATTTACTATAGTGCAAATGTGATGGTCACCCAAGGTAAACTTTTTTCATACTAAGGTAATCGATCTTGTCAATTAATTGAAAGTTGTAAAGCTCATCTTTGCAGTTCTAATGGTAGGCAAAGTGTTAAAATTGGCCTGGTGAGTGCCAAGATATCTTTAAAAAACTGTTTTTTTACTATGTAAACTTCTTTGCAAACAATACTATTGTTTGCAAAGTTTATATAGTAAAAGAACAGTTTTTTAAAGATATTTTGGCACCCACCAGACTGATTTTGATGCTTTGACCACCATTAGAACTGCAAAGATGAGCTTTACAACTTTCAATTAATTAACAAAATCAATTACTTTAGTATGTAAAAAGTTTACTTTGGATGATCACCACATTCACACTATAGTAAATTTATATAGTAATCTGAGTTACATTTTACTATGGTGCAGGAAATCTATACTCAACAGTTACACGAAGTGTTTCAATTTTTTAAATGGTTATAACTTTTTATCTAA